TTCCAGCCACGAATGCATTGATTTAATACCACTTGCTGACTGCTTTTTGCAAATCGACATTTTACTTCTCTGTGGATTGAGTCAGGAACGTAAAATTTATTATTCAGTAAATTCGACAAATTAATTTTCTGCAAATGTCACTTGTTAATGGACTCACTTCTGTTTTTTGAGTGTTACAAATTCGTAGGATTTTAGATAATTCGGTATTCTAGATGACCAACAATATTTCAAATATGCTTCCTCTGACAAAGCGCCATCGTTATTGTGCTACAATATACTGTGTGCGCTTTATAAGCTAAGCCGAAGTAACGAAGAGATTTACCCTCTTTAACTTCTTTTATCTACCAACTCTTTAATTTACAAATTAGAAGAGGGTTCTCAGAAAATGTATTACAACGGAGTATGTCACAAATATATTTTTCATTTATTATAAAGTGTAAATAAATGAAACTACAGTGGAGTACAAGAGTATTCGTACACTTGAAATATAAAAATAAAAGCAACAATATTTTCTATATTATTAAGTATATTTAATTATATATAGCTGTATATTATACATAACACTTACAGCAACAAATGACTAACAACTGAAGGCAATAACACAGATGAAACACAGAGGTAGAAATGTGATGGTGTGGGGATGTATTGCTGCTTCTAGAGACGACAATATAGTAATAATAGATAAAATAGTGGATAAACATTTATATTTAAATATTTTAAAAGAAAATTTATAAAATAGGGCAGATGAATTAGAATGAATTAGATTTATGAATTAGATGAATTTTATTTTCAGCAAAACTGTAACGCGAAACATACAGCCTATATGTATAGGGCGTCAATGGTTGTTAATACCGATACACCCCACAAGTTAACAACTCCTCTACAATTGCTTGACCTAAATCCTGTCGAACATATATGGGCGAAACTAGAAAAAAATGTGCGAAAACATGATATAACGTCGAAAGAACACTTGAAAGAAATATTGAAAAGAGAATGGTGTAATATAGAACCTGACTTCGTTAAAAGTTTGGTGTTGTCAATGCCCGATATATTACGTGAAGTGAATTGTCGGAAGGGTTATCGTACAAAATATTAATTTATAAAATTCCTGCTAAAATAATTGTAGCAATAATTAAGTGTACGAATACTTTTGTTCCGACGATTTCTTACGGTCTCGTGAATTTCAAGTCATTTCAAGTTACTACATGATGTTATTGTCTTCGGTTTTGGGTCATTTGTTACTGTAAGTGTAATGTTTAGTATACAGCTATATGTATATGATTAAATATACTAAATAATATAGAAAATATTATTCTTTTTATTTCCATATTTCAAGTGTACGAATACTTTTGTCCTCCACTGAATCAACGCTGTGCGTGACTGCATGGTAGTTTTGTAACGGCCATCATAACAGAATGTAAATTGTCAAATATGTCTTACATATATTCAATTTAAAATGTGTTTATTTTTCTGAACTACTATAAGATACAAGAAAAGTGTAACGTCGACACTCGACGTAAGTCTACTTCAATTGGTTTACAAACTCGTTATTGTAAATGACATATAAATTGTTCGCTCTTGCCAAAAGTACCTATGTAGCTCCGAATGAACCTTTCAATTTAATGAATCGACGTTGTAACTTCTTCGTATCTTCTCAGACAGTTTCTTGCAGCGAACAGAGTTGAAAGTGGAGAGAAATAAAATTTTTTCATTTGACCTACTTGCTAATCGTCTTTTAAAAACAGAGAAACCAGAATTATATTCAGTTTATTGATCTGTTATTTAATCTAAAAGCTTCTTTGTGATAAATCGTCAAAGAGCTATGACGTTTTTCTGCAGTTACTATCATTCTTACTTTCCTGATCCGTTAGGACAAAAGTAACATTAATCATTTTGTAGAGAATAAAGTAAGAATACTTTATCTAACGCAGCATGAGATTTTTATTATAAGTAACTATAAAAAGAAACGTTTAAATAAACATATTATATTTGAAGTAACGACAAAAACAATAATCATGCATTTAAATAACGAAAAATGGAACGCGTAGCTAGCTTGGAGAGTTTATTTAGTATTGTGTATTATTTATCTATTCCCAGTTGCGGTTATAACTTGTATAAAACATCACCCTTGGTGCAGTTTTTACAGTTTTTTTCGTCCCCAGAGTAACATGTTACTTTCGTGCTCAACCACGTTTTGGTAAACGTCTCATAACCTATAAACTATACAATTATTGAAACTAATTGTAAGTACATATAAAACTATTTAAGAACGCTGTAGCAGGTAAATGATTTAATACTCATAGTTGTATGAATATCAACAAGAAAAAAATGAGAAAAATTCACTAGAGAGATCTGAAGTATCAATTCAATTTAATTGCCCATGCGATTTATGTTATTAGTATTGATCAACAGAACAAAACAAATATTGTGCGCATGCAACTATGAAAAACATTGTCTAAAAATATTTGTGGAAGCAGGGAGAAGGTGTGATACTTTTATTTCCGTTCTCTCATACGTATTAATGCATTTCTGCTATCAACAGGTTGGCCTTGCTACTCGTTCATGCAACTGTAAATAACACTGCTTAAAAGCAACACGACGTGGCGTCTTGTCAAAAAAGCAGAATCCAAAAGAGTTAGTAATAAAGAAAATGAGATGTGTAATACATCTATTAACCTTTGAGGCACGGTTGAACTTTAGCGCTGCTTCTCCGTATGGCAGAATTCGACGCGAATTACTCGTAAAAAGCACTACAATATGTGACAATGCTATTCTCTACATTGGAATGAAGTTTTTGATGATTAAATTATAATTTTTCCCAAAGATATGAAACATATACTTTAACTTTGATGATTTACTTTTTTAGAAAATTTACAAAATATGTAATTTCCAAATGTTTCCAATATCGCGTATTAGTGCAAAGAGGCGCTCCCATGGTGTCTAAACTACTTGGTACCTTTTATTTACATGTAATGTACTTTTCTGGGATTTGTTAATACTCTTATAAAACGTGATGAAGGCAAACAAGTGCGAATCAAAACATATGAAAACGATCATTCAATCGAAACGGTGAGCGAGTGAGTCTGTTGAGTGAACGATTATGGCGCTATGTAATCTCCGATGATATTCGCGAAAGTCACTATAGTGGATCGTCGTACAGAGAGATGGTATCCGCGAAAGCCATTATAGTGACGCGTCATGCCTAAAAGGTTAAAGAAATAAAAAGACACTCAAAAGTATATGCCTTAAAATCGCTAAAAAAAGATGTACATAACGGTGTATCCTGATTTACGTAATAAGTTTGTGCATGGTATAATTGAAATACGACCTTCAATTTCATTAGTCATAGAGGAAATTGAAATTGTCCACGCAGGTTGATATCGATGAGTAACACTGTGAACCGTTATTCGCTTTAGGTAAATTAACCCTGTCGATAGATGGGCGCCATGATATTTTTAAGAAGAAATCGTTCTGCTCGTAACTGGTTGCACCATGTAATCAACGATAACATTCGCGAAAGCGACTATAGTGGACCATCGTGCAAATAGATGGTAACCACTAAAGCCACATAATGGCGCGTCGCGCTTACGAGGTTAAATATAATGCTAGAATACTATAAAATAGAATGAAATTGAAATGAAAAATAGTAGAATACCAAAGAAGATGCAGTTGTGATTTAAAGCGAAAAGCATACTTCTCTCTTAAAATCCTCATATTTAATCCTCAAATAATTTCCCACATATTTTCGGCAAGGATACACGATTAAATACAGCTGTCACTCACACGAACTAAATCGAGAAATAAGAAAGAAAGCCTTACTTAGAAAGTTCCGAAACTTTAATAACGAGAGAAACCTCTCTGGATTCCTAGAACTCATCTTATGGTGAACGCACAGTAATCATGTTTTACACGTTAGCTGCCTTAGTTCAAGATGCTCGGATGGAATGATAATGTTTACACGGTAGTGGGCGAATTAGTGCGAATCTGGTATGCATAACAAGCTGCGTATAATCACAGTAACACCATAATCCGCCCACAATCTCTGTATATCTCTATTTGAAGCTCAACTCACAACCACACGAACGCAAAATCATTTGAAGAAAGTTTCGAAGGAAAATACATTCTCACTGTAAATATTATAGTATATCGGAAGAATTGTGTTTAACAGATGGTGGAAATAAAGCAATCTCCCCCAGTAAAATGTTCAAAGTTTGCAGAATTATTACAGTTTTCAGTTATGGATACTTCAACTCTGCACGTCGACGATGTAAATTTTCCGGCTCTAACTTCGTAGCGCTTCAAGCAACATTGATGCCACTGACCGAGATAGGGCTATAAAGTACACACAAAATTACGAACGAAAGTTTGTACAACAGAAAACAGAGACTGAAACAAGTGCGAAGTTAGATTTTAGTTTCATTATGTTTTATACAGACAAATTATTTACAACTTCCACTGTTTTCTGTTTCAGGAAATAATACAGTTTGCAGATTTAACAAATATTTTCTTTCACTTTTCGAAGTAGAGAGATTTTTTCAAAACGTTTTTAAATGTTCATTTGTAGAAATGTACGTGATCAGTGGTGCATGTGGTCATGTATGTGATGACGTAATGTTCGAAATAAATTGTAAATGTATGGAATTCAGATTTGTCTATTTGTACATCACTTTTTCAATATTTTCTCTTCAGTTACATCTATGAAATTTGCAAACTTCATAAAAATTGAAAACCCCAATACACGAATGAATTTCTAAAATATTCCGATACAAAATCAATATAAAAATGAGATATAATATAAACAAAAAGGATGGTCTCAACTTTACTAATATTCCGTTAAATACTCAAAAGTGTTCAACATGACACGAAATAATTGAAACTTAACAATCCGTATAGGTAGATTTCATAAATCCAAAGTGACTCCTTGTATTTCTGTAGAAAATACTATGAACTTTGATTCATCTCTGGCAAGTTTGAAGGATATTTCGTGTCTACTGTTTCAGGCAGACGTAAATGTCGAGAAGATTGGCCGAGCGTCGGAACCGAACGAGCTTACAATTTGTTCTTGGATGGAACACTCCTCCTAGTCCCTTTAATCGTGATGAGCCTGGCTTATTCTTTGATCGCCGTGAAACTTTGGCGGGGATTGCGGCAGGAAATAAGGCAATCATCCTCTTGTCCACAACGTCGTAAGTTCCGAAGTTTCGACGAAAATAGCAATACTGATCCTGTGAGAATCCTTCATACATACAATATTATTCTAAAGAGGAAATTAAATCTGAAATTTGTTTGAATTGTTGATAAAAAAAAGTTATTTTAAAATTATTAGAATTAATTATTATTATTAATTATTATTATCATTGTTGTTATTATTATTATTATTATTAATTATTAATTATTATTTAGTGACATTAGACAACTTCAACGACTTTTTTGTTAACACTGTTTCATCTTTTTATGCATATTGTTACATTCACCTCTACACAACATTAATGGTTAGAATTTTTCGAATCTCATACAATTTTATACAAATAAAGCGTTTGAAGATATATCGTTTTATTAACTGTAGTGTTTTTGACAAAATTATTTTATAATATAGACAGCTATAAAACTTCTATAAAACTAATTATAAAACTTCTCTTAAAATTTCGTCTAGCATCTACAAATTGAGACAAACAAATAAAATATGAAATAAAATGTTTCCTCAAAATCACTGTCATAGATTTAAATAAAAGTGAATAACAGTTTAATGATGAAATTTTTGTAGAAATTCTATTTTTCATAAAAAATATTTCTTGTACATTACGATTGTGGAATCTTTGGTCTACGTTTTACGACACATAAAAAGTCATTTGAGAAAAATGCGAGTTCTGCGAAAATCCTGTAATAATTCTACAATCTCTATAATAAAAGTCCATCATAATTGCTAATTACACTCTAATTAAAAAACCTGATAAGCTCTGGCATGATAATACTTTCGTATTATAGAATTAAATTGCTTAACACATTAACTATAATATAACTCAGGTTTTTACAAATATTCTTACGAATTTAATGTGAAATATTAAAATTTTTATTTGCTTACAAAATTAGTTATGATTTTATTATATTTTTATTTTAATATTTCTATGGACACGAATTTTTTCAATAAAATAACAATATAATTATTTTTGTGTTTTCAATACGAAATATTGAAATTCTTTTATATTATTAATTTTAGGAGTTCATTTAGATTCGTTGAAATGTTATTGTTTCAATGAATATGTATTTCATAAGAAATGAAATTACTTCAAAAAGGGAGCTACGAATATTTTAAAAATAACATTTATTTTATATTTTTTTAACGTAAAATTGATTCTATAGCAGAACACATTGCAGTATTTCATATTAAATTAATGAAAATACATATTTTAATATTTTATTGTAAAAATTCGACGTAATACACGTTGTTTTTACAATGTAATAAGTTGGTAAACAAGTTACACTACCGTTCATAAGTATCCGGACACAAGCGAAATATGCATTCGCGTTGCATCAAAGTTATTCAAGTATCTGCAACAGTAACTGAAATCGATTTTTTTTTCTGCGAAGGTCAGAATACTGGAACGTTTTTTGATTGGTAATTCTCGTTTGGAACTCATAGCTCGATGGAAAAGAAGCTACAGACGAACTAAACCGAAAGTGTCGAGTGCGTAGCGTTACCTCCATTCTTATCTTCATTGAAGGAACCTAAATATCTACCAACAGTTTACAAACACTTGAAACATATCGAAGAACCCTCTGAATACGTTCTGCACCATAGAAATGAAGCACAGTAGAAATTAAAATTTTTTTTAGAATCGAAAGCGTTTCATTAGGTTCACAAATTTGGACTTTGTACCTCTGGACATGAATTTTACTTTCACACTTTCATTGTATAATTTGTACTTAAAAATTAATTCTATTACGTTATGATACCTCAAAAAAGATAATAATAATTATTACAAATGATATAATAACCCTAAATACCTTTCGTACAAAGTTCAACTATGTTTTATGTAACGAAACCAAGTGTCCGGATACTTATGGACGGTAGTCTATATGAATGAGGTTGGTAAGTATGCTGAGTGAGTGAAGTTGGTATGAAAGAAATATTCTATAAATTGCTATGAATGTTAAAAGAAGTGAGAATCGGAGATTGTCAGGTTTGCACGTAGTATGCTTTGAACGAGAAAAATGTACAATTAATATTTATTGAGTGTCATTAATATTTTTCCACCTCAAGTACCAAAATTAAAATTGAGAATAAAATTGATCCCGTAATAAATTATATTTTATTTTATTCTGAAAGTTCATCTTCATATAAAGGAAGTTAAATTTTATCGGATCAGTATGGTGGATTATCTTTTTATCACTCTTTTCAAACTATAAATGAAATTAACATCCTCTACTGACAAAAATGAGAAAGCTTTTCAGCAAATCCATTAATTAATATGACGGATAATAATTCATAACCCATTTAATTCATAAAAATAACTCTATTACTTGAATTGTAAGACACATTCATTAAAGTCTTTAATAAAATGACAAAGTCTAATTTTCATCTACCTCACCATAAATAAATACAATTTTGCAAATATCTGTAAAAATTTTTAATTCGGTTCACTCCACAATTGTGTTTTACAATATTTTATCGAAAATTCGCAGAAACCATTTCGTTTAAATTACATGTAGGGTGATTTTTATAAAATGACTGATTGTGTTATTATTTTACATTTGATATGCTTTGAGCAATATACTATTGACCATGAACAAAATTTCGTTTCACAGATCATACAGAGATATTTTATTAGGAAGATCATATTAACCTTCTATTCATGTGGGTACGAAACTAACCACTGGTCGGCAGTTAAAATCAATACCTGATGAGAAATTCCTGTTTAAACGTGAAATACATATTCTATAAACAAATTTGAAATATATTTTAAATTGCAAGATTTTTTAATGTTTGATATTAATATTTTTTAACATAAAATATAAACGATCGAATTTTGAGATTTAAAAATGTGGAACATAGAGAATTGAGGGATTTGTTAATGTGGAGATTTAAAATTTTAACATTTGAGATTTGGAGATTTGAAGAGTTGGAAATATAAAACTTGGAAGTTTTGTAATATTGTAATTTGAAAATTTAGCGTTTGAAATTTGGAAATTTGGGAATTTGGGAATTTGGGAATTTGGGAATTTGGGAATTTGGGAATTTGGGAATTTGGGAATTTGGGAATTTGGGAATTTGGGAATTTGGGAATTTGGGAATTTGGGAATTTGGGAATTTGGGAATTTGGGAATTTGGGAATTTGGGAATTTGGGAATTTGGGAATTTGGGAATTTGGGAATTTGGGAATTTGGGAATTTGGGAATTTGGGAATTTGGGAATTTGGGAATTTGGGAATTTGGGAATTTGGGAATTTGGGAATTTGGGAATTTGGGAATTTGGGAATTTGGGAATTTGGGAATTTGGGAATTTGGGAATTTGGGAATTTGGGAATTTGGGAATTTGGGAATTTGGGAATTTGGGAATTTGGGAATTTGGGAATTTGGGAATTTGGGAATTTGGGAATTTGGGAATTTGGGAATTTGGGAATTTGGGAATTTGGGAATTTGGGAATTTGGGAATTTGGGAATTTGGGAATTTGGGAATTTGGGAATTTGGGAATTTGGGAATTTGGGAATTTGGGAATTTGGGAATTTGGGAATTTGGGAATTTGGGAATTTGGGAATTTGGGAATTTGGGAATTTGGGAATTTGGGAATTTGGGAATTTGGGAATTTGGGAATTTGGGAATTTGGGAATTTGGGAATTTGGGAATTTGGGAATTTGGGAATTTGGGAATTTGGGAATTTGGGAATTTGGGTATTTGGGAATTTAGGAATTTGGAAATTTGGAAATTTGAGAATTTGGGAATTTGGGAATTT